CGCCCAATTGTCTGTCTTATTGGTTCCACTTTCATCACCGCCCATCTCTTCCGCATAGACAGCAGAAGAATTCATCAAATCAGGATCACGAACACCCATAGGTTCCCCTAATACTTCATCCTGTATGATATTTCCTCCTTTATTTATAGCAATGCCTTCAAAAAAGGAGTTTCGCTGATGAAAAATGGATGATTCCGTCGATCTGCTGGAAAATATTTGAGTAGACATCCCAAAAATAGTGGCCTCCAAATTTTTACTGATTACAGAGCTTGGATCATATAGCTGGAGGCTTATTAAAGCTGGATGGAGAAGACGAGCCATTGCCACCAGGATGGATGAATCTAAAACCAGTATGTTGAAAGCCATGTAAGCCAGACCTCTGGCAAATGAAGGCGCCAACGAAACCATTTCGCAGCCTACCCGGCCAGAGTGAAGGTAGCATTGATGTAAGATATAATGTCTCCGCTTTCAGTCATTGGTTATTTTCTATTCATAAATTTACAGGTGAACAAATAAAGGCAAAATTTAGCAAAATCTTTGAAAAGATGACTTATTGAACTGATATATTCGCAATGTTAATTTAAGAATAGATGGTAAAACAGAATCTATTAAGGTTCCAGGGATAGAATTAACTATAAATTTCTATATAAGTTTAAATGTCTACAAATTTTGAATATGAAGAAATTTTCAAAACATATAGCTAGTATAATATGTCATAATCAAATAATCTAAAATGTACTTAGAATAAAAATTTTATGATAATCATATATATATATATATATATGGCTTTCGATAATGCACAAAATGTATACCCTTTGTAAGGAAATTTATGGGTAGAAAATCAAATAGTTATACCTGCAAAATTGTTTTTAATAAGTAAACTTTGGTCCAACGCTCAAGCTTATTGAGCTTCGAAACTTTTAAAATTAAAATAAATATAATCCTATAAGTTTATAATTTTTATATTAGCAATCTTATAACAGGAAAAGCAGAAGCGTAAAACTATATTGTGGATAAATTTAGAACATTTTTATTCTGTATTTTTCGGGTCCACTGACGCCAATCGGAAATTTTTTCAATAGCTTATGCTTTAATGCTAATATAGATCTCATATCAACATTTTTATTTT